ATTTATATTTATATTTATATTTATATTTATACTTATACTTTTATTTATATATATTTACACTTATATTTGTATATATTTATACTTATATTTGTGTATACTTATATGTATTTGTATTTCTTAAAACACATTCATTTATTTACTTGTCTGTTTATGATCCTTGTATTTAATTAAATTTCACATATTAGTTAAGTTTCATATACATTATATTACGATCGATTCATACAGGTCAAAACTAATTCCTTGAAACAATTCCATATATTTAGATGTTGAAGAAATATTCATTTGTGTCAGTCGTCAACACTGGCAATTGCAACGGCATTGCAAAGCGCATATGGATGAAGCAGTTAGGAATAGGAAGAAAAAGAAAAAATTTGAATTTTTGGACAACGACGTTTGCAGGTATCTTCCAATTTGATGCAGAAATTCCGGTTACATCTTACTAAATTAAAAGACAAAAATGCCACAAAAATCGTTGGCTTAATTGATTGCTAAACTCTGTGCAGTTTCGCTACTGTGTCTTTTCTCGAAACGTTAATGTTTTTTCCTCGCCTTTCTCCTATCCGATATAAAAAAAGATTTTTTTAAAGGCATCTTAACAATCATAATTTATGTCTCGAAAATAACGTCATTCACTATTGTCCGAGAGCTGGCAAAATTTTTACTCGACTTAACCTTCGCGATTACTTTTTATCGTTCATCTTACCAAACAACGATCGCTTATTCAGGTAGGTTTACTGCTTTCTGTGAGCGAAAAAGCTTAAAAGCTGGCAAATTACTTTTTTTTTGCTGGCAACAAGACCATTTTTGTACTTAAATAAATATTATACTAGATGTGCCGTTAAAAACTTTTACTCAGTATTTTAAGGGCAGAAATATATACAAATCAGAAACGAATCCACCCATATACTGTTTAATTTTAGCATATAGTTTTCTTAGAAGTAATCATACAGTGCATATTTTGAGACAGCCACCAATAAAATGCAGAGATAAAGACTTACTAGTTTGCCACAAATCTAAGAACTAATATGAGCCTAATTTTGAATTTGATTCCTCTTCACTAGCGATAGGTCGCCGGACTGCAAATAAATACACGGTGAATAAGTTCAGCAAAACTTCAGCGATGATTTCTTGGACGACTGCCAGATATATAATTTTGTCGCTAGTGGCCAGACGTCAACAAGTTTAGGGAATTTTACAGCAGCTGACAGTTACGTAAGTACGCAGCTTTAGAACGTTCTAGCTTATCTGTTGATTATCTTTTCACGGAAATGTTTTTTAGACAAGTGTAGCTCAGGTTCCAGACCTTCAAGGTCCTTCAAAAGTCACTGCGAACTACTACCAAGGGACAGCGAGT